TACAAGGAGATCCCAAAATGCCAGAGAATAAACATCACTTGAGGAAATTTATCAAGACTACACTGCTAAAAGTGACGCTGACAGGTACTGATGTCCTCCCCCTGCCCTCAACCCATTGTCAAACCTCAAATCCACCACATTTCACAAGCACATGACTGTTTTCCACAAATGCTCTTTATTTTCTCCTTCTGGTAACTTACTACGACTCCGATTACACTAAAAATGATGTAGAAATTATTCAAGAGTTTACGGTTTTAATAAAACAAACAATGATGTGACAAGAACGGCCAGACACGTGTAGTGTAGAGGCATCTTATCCCATGAAATCAGGAACGGGGGACAGCTGTTAGTTCATCAAAAGCCATGGAGTCATAAAACAATGTGTATGAGTTTCCCAGGGCTGCTGTAACAAATAGTCACAAACCGGCTGGCTTACAACAACAGAAATTTTTTCTCTAACAGTTCTTGAGGCTAGAAGTCCAAAATCAAGACGTAGGCAGGGTTGTTTCCTCCTGGGCTCCGAGGGAGAATTTTGTTCCTTGCTTCTTCCCAGCTTCTGGTGTTGACAGCAATCCTGGCCATTCCTCAGCTCCTCCAATTTCGGCCTCAATCTTCACATGGCCATCTTCCCTCCATGTGTGTCTGTGAGTCTGTCTCTCGTGGCTTTCGTATAAGGACAATAGTCATATTAGATCTAGGGCCCGCCCCAATCCAGTATGACCTCATCTCATCGTAACTAAGTACATCTGCAAAGACCCTATTTCCAAATAAGGACATATTCTGAGGTTCCATGGACATGGATTTGGGGAGGACACAATGATATGCTCACATTTTAACCTTTTGCACTCGGATGTCGAGTGTGACTTGACACGGTTAGCATCGGTAGCAGCTCGAATCGAGAAAAAAGCGAGTGCAAAGGGTTAACTTTCTATACAAACTTGAAACAGATAACTGCACATTCGTTCTGCAGTGTCTTCTGTAACCGTGCCAGGTACAGACTGAGTCCCCAGTCACAGTCTGCTGAATAAGGAACCAAGAGCCTTTGACGCAGGACCAAAGCCTTTCTTTGCAGTATTGATGTGCTGACGGATGCCATTTCTCTCACGTGAACCCTCTGCACCACCTCCAGGGTCCCTGCCTCTAGCACAGACTCACAAGGTAAAAGAAAGTAAAGATGCTTGCAAAGCAATCTGAGTGAAGAATCCCTATTGCTGACAATTCCTTCCCCCAAACTCCAATCCTTTCAGCATTCTCACCCACATTCCATTCAAGAGCAATTATTTTTATTTATTTATTTTTTTTGAGACAGAGTCTCACTCTGCTGCCCAGGCTAGAGTGAGTGCCGTGGTGTGGGGCGCGGTGGCAACGCCATTCCAAGATGGCGCCCGCTTCCTGGTCAAACCCTGCTGTTAGTCTGACAAACAAGTGCTCAGCGCATGTGCAGAGTTTGTCTCCTCCCTTCCAAGTGCCTTATCCAATCAGACAATGCCCAGTGTACTTACTGCCTTTATAAGCAGCCGCCAAGAACGCCTCGGCGGCTTCCGCATGTAACCAGTTAAGCAATCCCCATTAAAGCGCTGTCAGAAGAACTCCGGTTGCCGCGTCTTCCTTGCTGGCGAGGCGGGCGCGACACCGTGGCATCAGCCTAACTCACAGCAACCTCAAACTCCTGGACTCAAGTGATCCTTCTGCCTCAGCCTCCCGGGTAGCTGGGACTACAGGCATGCGCCACCATGCCCGGCTAATTTTTTCTATATATTTTAGTTGACCAATTAATTTCTTTCTATTTATAGTAGAGATGGGGTCTCATTCTTGCTCAGGCTGGTTTCAAACTCCTGATCTCGAGCAATCCACCTGCCTCGGCCTCCCAGAGTGCTAGGATTACAGGTGTGAGCCACAGCACCCAGCCAGCAATTATCTTTAATATACTAAACTTGCCTCGGTGGCTTTCCAAAGGACCCAACCTGGTTTTAGAGAAACTACTGTCTCTATTTTTCACATGCATATATAATCAGCTCATATATAAGTTATGATGGTTAATTTTACGTGTCAATAGACAGGGTTAAAGAACACCCAGGTAAGCTGGTAAAACACCATTTCCGGGTGTATCTGTGAGGGTGTTTCCGGAAGAGGTTAGCATTTGAATCGGTAGACTGAGTAGTAAAGAAGACCCACCCTACCAACACAGGCATGCAATCGGCTGAGGCCCAGAGAGATAAGGCAGAGAAAGGGTGAATTTTCTTTCTCCTTGAGCTGGGACATCCATCCTCTGTCCTCAGACACGGGAACTCCTGATCCTCAAGCCTTCAGCCTCAGGCTGCATCACGCCACCAGCTTGCCTGGCCCCCCAGCTTGCAGACAGCAGATGGTGGGACTACTCAGCCTCCATAATCACATGAGCCAATCCCCACACTAGGTCCCCTCATATATATCATATTTGTTCTGTTTCTCTAAAGAATCCTGACACTTATACACAGGTACAACTGGAATAAACACATGTGACCCTAGCTAAGCGTACACCACAACTGATGAGGGAAATGCCCCTGGCCACCATCTACAAACCTCCATGAACCAGGAACACTGTGAGTATAACTGACAGGCAATGACAGCACAGGACCAGGCGTGGTGGCTCACGCCTGTGATCCTAGCACTCTGGGAGGCCCAGGCGGGAGGACTGCTTGAGCTCAGGAATTCGAGACCAACCTGAGCAAAAGCGAGACCCCGTCTCTACTTTAAATAGAAAGAAATTAGGCAAACAACTAAAAATACAAAAAAATTAGCCGGGCATGGTGGCGCGTGCCTGTAGTCCCAGCTACTCAGGAGGCTGAGGCAGGAGGATCACTTGAGCCCAGGAGTTTGAGGTTGCTGTGAGCTAGGCTGCAGGCTTTCTGCTCAGAGGAACGACAAGGCACAGGCACAGAGGCAAGAACTAACTCAGCAGGTGCGAGGCCTATGAACCTTTCCAAGTAGCACAAGGGGAACAGGAGATGTCAGGAGATGAGGTGGAGAGTTAGGAGGATCCAGAGCATCACTGGCTTTTTAGAACCTCATTTTAGAACCTCATTCTCATGGGTGTGGAGAGCACAGAGTGACAAGGGGCAGGGTGGAAGGAAGGACAGCCAGTTAGGAAGGTGTTGCAGATTTGTGGTGGCCCGCGGTGGTGGCAGCGGCATGAAGAGCAATGGATGGACTCTTGTGACAGCCAGGCTGCGAGACAGAGAGGGAGTGGTCATGCAGGGGGAGGTGGCTCTCCAGGACCTCCACAGGCACCTGTGTCACTTTTCTGTGCTCTTGCAAAGCCACTCCCTCTGCCTGGAATACCTGTCCTCCTGCCTAGAATACGCAGCACCTGGCATATTAGCAACTCAAAAACTGCTGCAGAAATGAATGAACGAATGCTTCCTGCTTTAAAAGGAGAAGATGATATACCCAAGAAACCGGTAATAATGTACTATGGGCTAAAGTCAAAGTTTTTTGTTTAATATCCTAACCAATATGACTGGAGGGGCTGTTTAATAATGAGTTTCTGGAAAATGTTGACAAAAGGACTGACAACCACCAGAGTATTTAATTCATTCACTTATTGAACACCTATTAAGTGCCAACAACTCTTCTAAGTACGGAAGGGCTCTGGGTGTGAAAACAAACAATGAAGTTTGTTGATTAAACACTATGAGGAGTTAGGATTTCCATTTACAGTTTCCTTTTAATGCTGTAACTTCCTGGCTAATTTTGCTATTACCTTTGTTGCTCCCAAGTTTTCCATGTTTTACTATCAATACGTAACATTAAAAAATAAAGTTTGAGAACTTGTTTCATAAAAATTGAGAAAGCGTGCTCCAACAATGTGGAGAGGACACACAGCTGGAAGAAAACGAGGTAAAATCCCGGAGACCTAAGGGCAGGATGAACTATCGTATGAACAGTCTGAGAAGAACCATAGTCATGAATATTTAAATATGCAACAGTCACTGTGTCCCAAAACAACACTCTTTTGCCTTCCTGAGCCCACTCATGGTGGGACTGTGGAGGTGCACAACTTGCAAAGTTCACGGCAATAAACTGGGAGTTGTCACCTCCTCATTTCCCTGCCCGTCTCCAACGACTCACCAGATAAGATGCAATGCAACCTGGGGGAGAACTCAGCTTCTCCTCGCAGAAAACAGAACCAAACTCCTAGAGTGGTCATGTGGATAACAGACAATGTGTCACCAGGAACAACTCTGCTTTAGCATTCATTCCTTGAAATTCATGAAAAGTTGTTTCTGTACCAACCTCAACAGGGCACAGAATTCTCACTGATCCATCCATAGTCTTTACCAGGTGACCGGTCAGGAGAGGGTGGCCCGCCAGGTCAAGGTCATGGTGATAGACACAATTTTTACAACCCAGATGGAGACCCTGCTGGACCAGGCATCATCCTACTAGTTGCTGGAGGGTCAAGGGGGCCTGGGGACTGGGGCCAGAGCAGCCAGGGTCACTCAAAGGGGCCAGGGTAGCAGCTATTATCAGCTAACATGCAAGAACATCTGTATTAGTAACTAGTAAGAGATGAACACCAACCCTGCATTAAGGGGCTTCAAACAGGAGTTGGCAAACTTTTCCTGTAAAGAGCCAAACAGTAAACATTCTAGGCTCTGCAGGCCACATGGTTTGTCACAACCACTCAACCCTGCCATTATAGTGTCAAAGAAGCCACAGACAGTACACACATAAGTGCCTGGTTATATTCCAATACAGCTGTACAAAAATGGGCAGTAGGACAGACACAGCCCACGGGCTATAGTTTGTGACCTGCCTTACAGCACAGCAGAGCTAACGGCCCTACAGAACCATCAAATCCTCAACCTTGACCTCGTGAATCAGCACAGTGTCCTACCAACTGATTTAACCAGCCAGTGATGAATCTCATGTGCACACTTGATGTTTACAACCCCCAAGAGACTGAGTCAAAGTCAGCAGTCAACACCCCACCTCCACAGCCCCCTTAAGAAACTCACCCTGAAAAATCTGTAGTGAGAATCCCATAGTGGAAGATGTATATTCGGCTGATGTGGCATATTGTAAGGTATCCCATTGCCACAAAAAAGGAGTACCTGGAACCAAAACACAGATGGTCAGATTACTATGCATAACAACAATGCACCCGATAAATGTTCCCTTCTTCCTCTCCCTCCACCCGCAACTGCTCGCAAAGTCCTATTTGGTCCAGCCACGTCCGCCTTTCCATCCATTGCTCTCACAAGCCCTTCACCTCTTCCCACCTGGACCACTGCAGGGGGTCTCAGCCTTGGCAGCATAACAGGACCACCTGGGGAACTCTACGAACTACAGAATTCCAGGCCCCACCCCCAGCTAGTCTGGTTTCACAGGTACCTGCTGCACCTGGCAGGTGTGATCCCAACATGCAGCCAGGGCTGGGAACCACTGACTCGTAAGGTCTGCACCCAAGATTCTCCTAATCATGAACCACCATGTTCACATAGGATCTTTGTAAAACACAAATCATCACCATACTGCTGACCACTCTCTTCTTTAAGCACTTGATTCTCTTGGCTTCCGCTCTCCTTGCTTTCTTCATGTCTCTCTGGTTAATTCTCCGCAGGCACCTTGTTCGGCTTTCCTGCCTCCACCTGCTCCTCAGGTGTTAGCATTTGCCCTGTCCAGGCCTCAGGCCAGTTACCACTTTCTCATCAGCACTCCCTGAGTCCCTCTACTGCACCACCAATGTGCACACAAGCCACACACACAGACACGTGTCCACTTATAAGCACTCTTGTCACAACATTCAATTTGTCATTATAAATATGTGATAAGCTGTGCAATGGACTGAATGTGTATGTCTCCCCAAAATTCATATGTTGAAACCCTAACCCTCAGTTTGACAGTATTAGGAGGTGGGGGCTTTGAGAGGTGATTGGGTGAGAAGGAGGGAGCCCTCACGAGTGGGATTAGTGCCCTTACAAAAGGAACCCCTGAGGCCAGGTGCAGTGGCTCACGCCTGTAATCCTAGCACTCTGGGAGGCCGAGGTGGGAGGATCGCTCAAGGCCAGGAGTTTGAAACCTGCCTGAGCAAGAGCAAGACCCCATCTCTACTAAAAATAGAAAGAAATTAATTGACCAACTAAAAATATATATAAAAAATTAGCCGGGCATGGTGGCGCATGCCTATAGTCCCAGCTACTCGGGAGGCTGAGGCAGGAGGATCGCTTGAGCCCAGGAGTTTGAGGTTGCTGTGAGCTAAGCTGGTGCCATAGCACTCTAGCCTGGGCAACAGAGTGAGACTCTGTCTCAAAAAAAAAAAAAAAAAAAAAAGGGGACCCCGGAGAGCTCGGTCACTCTCTTTCTGCCATGTGAGGACACAAGACAACAGCACTCTATAACCCAGAAGAAGGTCCTCACCTGGATATGGTGACACCCTGATGTTGAACTTCCAGCCTCACAACTGAGAAATAAATTTATGTTGTTTCTAAGCCACCCAGTCCATTGTACTTTGTCATAGCAGGCCAAGCTAAGACAATGTGATTACCGTCCCCCTTACCAAACTGTAAGCTCCATGAGGGCAAAGATAATCACATGTGTCTTGTTCACCATGTCCATCTCCTGTGTGTCAAGCAAATAGACAACTATGTGACTGCTACTCTTCTTAAACATCTCCAGTGGATCCGCTATCTAGTCAAATTGAAGCCACTGAACACAACACGGTGTTCAAGGTGCAAGGCGCTTCACACTCTACCTCACCTTCCTGACTCAACTCCAGCCACACCCTATGTCCACTTATGTCCCTATGCCCTGATGTTCAAATTATACTGCACTGCTCAGGTTCCACAATTAAATCCTGTATTTTTGGGCCAGATATCTTTCTTCTGCCTGCAACTTCTTTCCCCATCCTATGGTCTATCTGGAAACTGCCTGATTATCATATAAGGCTCAGCTCCAATGTCACCTCTTCAGTGTCCCTTGGCTTGGTCTGGCTCCATCCACTCCACCCCCTCTCCGGCTCCCCCAGCCCCAGCACAATTCCTTGCTCCACTGTCTGTATTTCTCTAGTACTGCATGCTAACATACATAAGCACGACATTAAAATTATTTATGCACGTGTGTCTCCCCAACTCATTGTGACCTTGAGTAACCACACCCTTGACCTGACATATAGGAGGGGTTCAGTTCCTGTTGGCTGAACCGAAATGAACACATTATGCACTTTAAATGGTTCAGGAGCTCATCAGATACAGACATTAATTCAGAAGACATAATTTTTAAACATGAGCCATAAAAGAGGAAAGATGTATATTCTGATATTAAATTATATCAAAATCACATATTCATATTAAAATAACTCATGAAAACTAGATCAACTTAAGGAATAATAAAGTAGGGATAATAAAAATTCAGTCGGTAGCAAGGGACAGCCAGATAACGAGCAGGGAGGAGTTCTGTAAACTTTAAAGCAGAATATAACATTAAGGCCAGGTGTGATGGCTCATGACTGTAATCCTAGCACATGGGGAGGCCAAGGCAGAAGGACAGCTTGAGGCCAGGAGTTCGAGACCAGTCTGGGCAATAGTGAGAACCCATCTCTATATTAAGTATATATATATATATATATATATAATTTTAAGTTCTCTTTACCATTATTTGCAAACAAAGATGTTACTACACAAAAAGATTTTTCCCTCCCTTGGGTTCATCCTAAACCCTTTCCAAACCAGGAAGATGATCAACAAGGCAAATGACTAAGAAAAAACAAACAAGAGCTGGAGAAGGGGTAGGAGGGAGTCAGGCATCACTGCGTCCAGCATCTGTTCCCTTTCTCGGCCAGTTCATGAAGCTCAAGGCAGGAACACAAAGCAGATTCAAAGGGCAGCTTCTTCTGGAAGCATGTCAAGTCCAGCCACGCCTGCTGCTTCCCCTCTGTCCTCAACAGGAATTAGACCCACACCTTCCCCTGGCCCAGAGGGTAAAGGGGACTCAGCTCATTTGTGGTGACAAGACCCCCACCTGTCAAGGATGGTGCCAAGTGCTAAGTTCCAATACAACAGGGCAATGCCCTGGCCAAACCTAAAACATCTAAGGAATCCAGGAGTGGTAGAGAGAACATGTATTCCAGAGACAAACCGGTATGAGTTCACATCCAGCAATGGCAAAGTAACCCATGGTGGGAGAGGTTGACACAGTGGTTATTCTAGGAAGGAAGGCAGTGGTAGAGATTGGGACATGAGTAATGGTAATAGTCTCCTTACTGAAACGGCTGGTGGTTACATGGGTGTGTTCATTTTGTGAAAATTCATCAGATTGTTTGTTTATGACTTTGAGCTTTCATTTCCTCATCTCAGAAAAAAAAATCTATATTCCATAGAGTTATCCTAAAAAGAATATATTTGAAATAATGAAATTAACTATTAAATGATATATTAAATAATAGTTTATGTATTAAAAATAATGAAATAAAGTAGATTAACAGGAGCTGAGCTCAGGACTTGGCACAAAGTAGAGATTCAAGAACTGGTAACTGCATCACCAAGTATCACACAAGGGCTTCTGTCCTACCAGATACAAACTATACTCTGCTCCAGTTGGTTCATGTATGATAAACTGATGCCCAGTGACTTCTGCCCAACACAGTGGCTTGGGGAGGAAACAGGTGATACCTGCTAGAACTCACTAAACAAATTCTGAATACTATCATTCCAAAAGTGGGTTAGTTCCATATGAAGCAAACACTAGTCCCCCCCTCTTTTTCCCAGACATATAACAGAATTCTTTTTTTTTTGAGACAGGGTCTCACTTGTTGCCCAGGCTAGAGTGAGTGCCATGGCATCAGCCTAGCTCACAGCAACTTCAAACTCCTAGGCTCAAGCAATCCTGCTGCCTCAGCCTCCCGAGTAGCTGGGACTATTAGTTGGCCAATTAATTTCTTTTTATTTTATAGTAGTGACGGGGTCTCACTCTTGCTCTGGCTGATTTTGAACTCCTGACCTCAAGCAATCCGCCCACCTCGGCCTCCCAGAGTGCTAGGATTACAGGCGTAGAACTCTTGTTCCTGGCCCCATAGGGCAGAGAGGACAGCGATTCACAGAGAATCAGGAAATGATGCTATTGAAGAGAACCTGCATTCAAACCACTGCAAGGCTCACATTTTATAGGTGGGATGTACAGAGAAGCTGTGTGACTTGGCCAAACTCACACTGCTGTTAGGACCCAGATTTCCTGACTCCAAACTAGGGCTCTTTTCCTGAATCAATAGGAAACAACTTCAATTTTTTTTTTTTTTTTTACATTTACATTGAGTCCATCCATCAGGAACTGTGAACTATTCCCTACCTACTTCTGCAATACCAGCAACCAGGCGAGCAAAGAAAGAGTGGAAGAATTTGTTCTGGCATCTTTTCTTTTTGGTCTTGTGATAAAGCCCTCCACTAGCACGATGTTACTGTGGTGAAACAGCCACAGGCTGCCTGGAAACCACTGTGCTCTGCCCAGGCCAGCGTATTCCATTCCTCCACGCTGGAATGCAACGCTGCAAACCTGAACAAGCAAGCCTGGCCCTGAAGGGCATGTCAGTTGTTGACCCCTCTTAGAAAACAGACCACACCCCATCAGCATCACATAAGTGTGGGGAGGGGTGACAAGATGCAATTTATAAAGTAGTTGGAAATGTGCTAGACAGATACAATAGTATGACTAATCATTTATTTGTTTCCAAAATCAAGTTTAAGAAAAGCCAAGCATTTTCACTCACCACTAAAAAAAAATAGCCTTTGTAAGCATTTTGTCATCATATGAAGCATTTCCAAAACCCATTCTTTCCAAATTAGAAAAATGGATTTCCTATTTCCTTTCTGGAAGGAATGACACTATCCCCTTCAAAGAAGGCACTGAGAAGAGGGATGATTAGAATTTAAATTTTCAGAGTTCACTTGGATATTACATTGAATGACTATAAAATCTAAAAGCATGCAAAAATATTTGCCCAGAAATTTATTATGGGTTAACAACAAGATTATACAGTGACAGCCAGGCGCAGTGGCTCACGCCTGTAATCCTAGCACTCTGGGAGGCCGAGGCAGATGGATCGCTCAAGGTCAGGAGTTTGAAACCAGCCTGAGCAAGAGCGAGATGCCCGTCTCTACTAAAAATACAAAGAAATTAATTGGCCAACTAAAAAGATATAGGAAAAATTAGCCGGGCATGGTGGTGCATGCCTGTAGTCCCAGCTACTTGGGAGGCTGAGGCAAGAGGATCACTTGAGCCCAGGAGTTTGAAGTTGCTGTGAGTTAGGCTGATGCCACAGCACTCTAGCCCAGGCATCAAAGTGAGACTCTGTCTCAAAAAAAAAAAAAAAAAACAAGATCATATAGTGACAAGTTAAATTTCAACATTTTGAAGAAGGAAAACTATTTTGTATTAATTGAAGAGCTTTCTGAAGCTGAAATAAGGCTCTGCTTTTCAGAGAAGCTGTCAGAAAAGAAGCCATAAAAGAATAAATGTCTTCGAAAAGTAATTCAGTCATTCCTTCCATAAATATTTATTGAGCCCTTACTTGTGCCAGGTATTGTTCCAGGCTTTGAGGATACAACAGTGAACAAGAGGGAGAAGTCTTTGTTTTCACAGAGCTTACATTCCAGCATTCCCGAAAGGCAGAGTTAATACAGTTTCCAGAAAGACCATGGGAAACAGAGACTATGCAAAACAGGTATCCCAGGGATCCCAACTGATTAGCCAGACATATCACTTTCAAGGTAGAATTAAATTACTTCTGTACTTTGAAATCTAAACATCACAGTAAAAAATATTCTTTTATTTTAGCAGTTTTATTATGCACATTTAAAGTATACAATTTAATAAGTTTTGACATATGTATGCACCCAGAAAACCATCACCAATTTCCAGATACTGCAGATATCCACCACCCCCTGAGAAGTCTCCCCACGCCTCTTTGTGATCCCTTCCACATCCTCCCTGCACCACCCCAACCCAGGTAACGTCTGATCTTTTGTCATTATACATTACATTGCATTTTCTAGAATAGACTTTGTGTGGCTTCCTTCATTCAGCATATTTATTTTGAGGTTCATCCATGTCACTGTGTATATCAATCTTTCATTCCTTTTCATTGCTGCATAGTATTCCATTGTGGTGAACACTTCAATTGTTTCCAGCTTGGGGCTATCACAAATAGAGCTGCCTAATCCTGATCTACTCTCTTTCACGTGAGGCCCAGTTGGCACCCCACCTTTTTCATAAAGCCTTCTCTGAAGACTCGCAGATTTTAGGGCTCCCCATTCCTCTTTTTGATATTCTAGATAAGCTAAGATTCAACACTTGCAGAAAATGGGGAAGGTTCGTCTTCACCCTAGAAATACTTTTCAAAGAGCACAAAAAAACCTCACCTCACATTGCTCATTCTCAGGGTCTTACCTGTGAATATTAGATACGCTTGCAGTGACCATGATTGTGTAGCACATTAACACCAGCACAAAGAGATGTACGGAGTACCTTTAAGATATAATGGGAGGGAGGAGACACTGAATATATTCATAGTAACATACCTATTGGCCACCCATACTGTCCACCTCCACCCTCTCCAGAACGTAAGTGATCAGTGAGCTCATGTTTACGTACGAGAAAATAAATCAAGTATTTTTATTCTGTGTAATTAAAATAGTATAGCTTGAAATGACACTAGAAAGTCACGGCCCAGTTTGGCAAGTAGAGCACTAGTAATGTCAGGAATCCATAAATGGAATGCTTATACTTTTTCACATATTACAATTAGGAGTCCAGAGAGATTGAGTTCTTTCTTTGGGATTTCATTTTTTTTTTTTTTTTAAGTCTTAAAGTACCACTACCAAAACTGGGTTTCCCCAGATACCAAAACTTTTACCTGGTAGTTGATTCAAAATACTCTTTTCTCAAATATCTGTTGAAGGATTAGGGGCAGTACACTGGTACAGAACCCCAAACAAATTCACAAATTTCCTGAAGATATATTTCTAGAAATGCAGGTCCTAAGAAGTGCTACCACTCCCAGGGTATTTTCACAGCTTACCGAGCAAAGGAAGTCCAATCTACTGGTTTTCTCTGTTAAAGAAAGATTCACATTCCCTAAGACCTGCACTAAAACCACTGTTCTGCTCAGATGAAATGCAAGGACACTAGTGTCTCTAGCAGTAATGCAAGAAATACACCAACATCTGCTATAGTTAGGAAAGGTCTCGTGTTGGGAAAAACTATAGCATCCCCCCTCGGGGTGAGAAGATCTAGAGAAATCTAATTAAAAAAAAAAAAAAAATTCACTGTACTGACTTCCAATGGATAGTCAGTTTATTGGTTCCAGGGTCTTATAGTAAATGGAGGTTCCTGCAATGTCCCTAATATATTACAATAAGGTATTTACAGTATCATAAAATTTTACATTATGGTATTTTACAATACCATCTATTTCTTACCTTAATGCAATGCCAATAAAGTCCCAATATCGCCACAAAACATCCAAATGATCAATACTATAATTTATGAAGCTCATACTCACCAACCAAAACAAAAGATGACAAAATAGACGCCAAAAATGGTAGCAAATGCATGCCGGACATCGGAGCTGGTTTTACTAGGACTTAGGTAGATGCGAAACCAAAAAGCAGCAAACAATGCAAAAAGCTGGCATGCCACGAAATTCACCTATGGGAGAGGGGGAGGAAAGAGAGAACAGAAATCTTTACTGTATTGCCTATATGTGAACTTGTTCTGTTTTTGTTTTTGCAGGTTTCCACATCTGGATGCATCTCAGACTTAGGTTTGGTTTGTTCCCCCAGTAGAGTATCCGAGTATCCATTTGGAGGAGGAAACAAGTAACAAGTGATAACCATACCCTCATGGGATATGAGAAATGACAAACCCAAGTTTCTTCTCCAACCCTTTAAGACTGGCCAAGGTTGCGTTCCCACCCCCAAGCAGGTGGCTTTTAATGTAAAGGACCTCAGCTGACTGTGCCTCCAGCACAACCCAAAGACAAAGAATTTGTTCTTCTAAAGACGCAAAGTTTGGCAAAAGAGCTCCCTAGTTCGGTACCTGGGCAATCAAATGCTTCTCCAAAGTGATCATTAGCTGTTTTCTGGCTCTAATTTTCTCATTTTAAAAATTAGCACCACATGAGCAAGAGCATTCTTCAAAGTGTGACACTAAATAGCCACAAAAAGACACACAGCCCTGCATTAAACATCCAATGCCAAGCCTGTCCAATTATGCAAGGTAGACATCAAATTTCCTTAGAAAAACCCCAGTGGTCTCTCTCTCCATCTCTCAAGAATATTTTGCCTAACAGAAAACAAAACAATTCTCTGAAATCTATAGGAGAGACCAGATGACTTTTTTTAAAAAAAACAACAAACAAACATGTACTTTTGCAATTTAAATTTACCCAAATCAAATTCCAAATACATTAAGTGGTGTGACCATTCATTAAAATTAGAAAAGTAATTTAAAACCCTCCAAGTATTCAAAATAAAAGCTTCAGTATCAATTCACTTTTAGAAGGCACTTAATCGAAAAGAGATTGAAGACATGAATAAACCCTCAACTTCCGCCTCAGTGGTTTTTCACACTACAATAAGTTGTGGTTATTAATGAAATTCACTAGGGCTGAGCTGGGAGGTAGGCTGGAGGTAGCAGACATCAGCTCCACCTGAACTCGTTTCATTTTCCCAATAAAAAACAACAACACTTTGGACCCCTTAGTAGAAAATATTACTTTCAGAGAGTTTGTGTTTCGGCTTTAAAAATTAACTGCATTGTGTTTCCCCTATATTTGGTAATTATGCCTCACCAGCCTTTCCAGAAATCTGTTGTCACTCCTCCCTACCTTCACTTCCTACCTTGAAAGAGAAGAAATGACATTCGAGCCTATCCATGATTTTGTCTTGTCTTTTAATCTAGGCTAAACAACCCAATTTACACTCACACACAAAAAATACAAGTATAGAAAAACAGTCACCTTAGCAAGGTTCAAAATGTGCAAGAACTGGCAACTGGAAAGTCAAAACCTTATGATCATCTCTGTAGATGAGCGATCATAGGTTCTTTCACTCTCTCAGCCCAGGGACCAGCCTGCAGCCACAACTGAATTCAGGAGAGCACCCAGGGGGACATTTGCTCCATTCTTTTTTGTTTTGGCCAGTAATTATTGAGTGTTTGCACACGAGGAATGATTCAGAGGGTGGAGCAGTGGTTCTCAAGAGTGTGGTGCCCAAACCAGGAACGTCAGCACCACTTGGCCACTTGTAAGAAATGCACATTCTCAGGCCCCGCCTCAGGCCTACTGACTTAGGCATTTCCTGGGTAGGGGCCCCGGCAATCTGTGTTCCAACAGGCCCACACGTGAGTGCAATGCACACTCAAGTTTGGGAACCACTGGGAGGGAAGAGAAAGAAGGCAAGTTCCCTGCCTCCCAGGAGCTTATAATCTAACTGGGGAAAGAAAACAAATAACCTAAAAGTAATTGCTAAGTAACAGTAACTTTGCACCAACTGACAGAGATTCTTTGCTTGAGCAAACTTTAGTCAGGCTCTCGAACCTTCTCCTTGGTGTACTTTCTTGTAAAATCCAGTTTTAGCAAGAACCCCCCCATCCTCCATATCTGATCACCCTCGATATCAGATCTAGTTCCTCATCCTCTACTGTCCCTCAAGTGGTGTTTGGTCACCCTGGTCTGTCTTCAGCAAGGACCTGTTTAGGTCAGTTTGGCCAGAATCCCCATTACCCTGCTGTGTCCTCTTAGTAATTTTCCACCCAGTGACCCCCCCCCCCACCTCTTGGCTGTAAATTCCCACTTATTCATGCTGTATTAGGAATTGAGCTCAGTTCTCTACTGAAGTCTTTTTCCCTATTGCAATAGTCCTGAATAAAAGCTATTTTTTTATGGCTTGAACTACTGTCCAGCTCTAGTTTTTCTAATTTTTTAATTCTAAATACAACAGTCAATTTAATTTTCATACACTAGAAATGAATAATGTGAAAAGAAAATTAAGAACGTAATTTCACTTACAATAGCATCAAAAGAACAAAATACTTAGGAAAATATTAACAAAAGAAGTGCAAGACTTGTACAATGAAAACTACAAAATGTGGTGGAAACATATTAAAGAACACTTGTATAAAAGGAAAGGCATCATTCAAGAACTGGAAGATTGCCATTGATAAAATGGTCATGCTCCCAAATCGATCGATAGATTAAACTTAATCCATGCCAGGAGTCTGGTTTTTTCTTTGAAGAACTTATTATGTTATGGGCCCTAAAGCCTCCAAAGTAAATGATAGCAAGTTTCATGATTAAGGAGGGATGAGAGACTCAAATGGTCAATCTGGAAGATGAAATAGGTAAAACTTGATGGGAGTTAAGAACATTAAAAAATCCTGTGGCTTGGGTTCTAACCCCAACCCTATTTAACTGGCTTGGCATCAGGGCTTTGCAGAGCTTTCAGGTAATTTTAATATGCAGGCAAGACCAGGAACACCTAATTCAGAAGTATAGAGAGAGAAACCTACTGAGGCACCCAGGAAGAACTGGCTTCCCCAGGATGAAGGAAAACACAAAAAAAGGGCGAGGGGATGGGATTTGCAAGCTCTGGGGCAGAGCTTGCAAGTGAAATGCAATAGATTCAAGAGTGATCCCAAAAGCTCAGGAGCCATGACCTTGGCCTCCAGATGATCTCCTGAACTGGGCTACTTTTCTTCAAAACCGCTCCAGATCTATCTCCAAGGAAGTGACTCACTGTGGGAAAACTACATCTGATCTGTAGCTGTTTACCCTAAGGATTGAAAAAGAGAAAAAGAGAAGACTTCCTTGGTTGTTGAAGCAATCTGCCATCTTTCAGCCACCATAATGTAACTGTACCTCAAGGGATGGGACCTGACACTAAGATGTCAGCTGAACAGCCTTGGGCAATCCGCTGATTGATCCCACAGACTCTTACTGGTTGACTCTATATGCCAGGTCCTGGGGACAATGAGCAAGATGCTATTTCTACCATCAAGTCAAAAAGAGACTTACATGCTCTGGGGCGTCAATTCCTTTATTTCCGAACTGTGTGCTTTGCGAGAACTGGGTCTGATTATCTCTTCCAGCTCTACCAATTCCTGATTCTGTATCTAACTGGGTGTTTTAAAAAGCATTGAGGCCATGTGTGGTGGCTCACGCCTGTAATCCTAGCACTCTGGGAGGCCGAGATGGGTGGATCTTTTGAGCTCAGGAGTTCAAGACCAGCCTGAGCAAGAGTGAGGACCCCCCCCTCCGTCTCTACTAAAAAATAGAAAGAAATTAATTGGCCAACCAAAAATATATAGAAAAAATTAGCTGGACATGGTGGCACGTGCCTGTAGTCCCAGCTACTTGGGAGGCTGAGGCAGAAGGATTGCTTGAGCCCAGGAGTTTGAGGTTGTTGTGAGCTAGGCTGATGCCACGGCACTCTAGCCTGGGCAACAGAGTGAGACTCTGTCTCAAAAAGAAAAAAGCACTGGGAGTCCACTAGGCTAAGACAGCTCCAACACCTTGGGTTCCTACATATAAGCAAGCTGACATATAACTTAGTGGATGGCCATACCTCAGAAAAATAAAACAAGCTTAACCAATCAGAAACCACCAAATAAGTGGTAACTGGAGACTTTACCAATCATAAACCACCAACTAAACTCTAACCAGGGAGCTTTAGCCAATCAAATATTTTCATTTTGCTTCCTTGAACACCTTATATAAAACACCTTGGCCTCCAGATGATCTCCTGAACTGGGCTACTTTTCTTCAAAATCGCTCCAGATCTATTTTTTGTGTTTTCCTTCATCCTGGGGAAGCCAGTTATTCCTGGGTGCCTCAGTAGGTTTCTCTCTCTATACTTCTGAATTAGGTGTTCCTGGTCTTGCCTGCATATTAAAATTACCTAAAAGCTCTGCAAAGCCCTGATGCCAGGCCAATTAAATAGGGTTGGGGTTAGAACCCAAGCCACAGGATTTTTTAATGTTCTTAACTCCCATCAAGTTTTACCTATTTCATCTTCCAGATTGCCCGTCTGAGTCTCTCATCCCTCCTTAATCATTTCTTTCCTTTCACTCCCCTTTTGGTGGAGCCAGAACTGCTTGTAGTCTGGCATGATCTGATTCATGAGTTGCTGAATGTTCAAATAAACTCTTTAAAATTTTAATATGCCTAAGCTTATCTTTTAACACCAGAATCCTTTCCCTTGACTGTTAATGGTAAATGTCAAACTCAAGGCTTTATTTATTTATTTACTTAATTTTTGGAGACAGAGTCTCACTTTGTTGCCCAGGCTGGAGTGCTGTGGCGTCAGTCTAGCTCACAGCAACCTCAAACTCCTGGGATCAAGCAATCCTCCTGCCTCAGCCTCCCAAGTAGCTGGGACTACAAGCATGTGCCACCATGCCTGGCTAATTTTCTCTATATATTTTTAGTTGGCCAATTAATTTGTTTCTATTTTTAGTAGAGACAGGGTCTCGCTCTTGCTCAGGCTGGTCTCAAACTCCTGAGCTCAAACGCTCCCGCCCACCTCAGCCTCCCAGAGTGCTACGATTATAGGCGTGAGCCACCGCACCCGAACCAATAGTTAATGTTTAATGGGCACAGAGTTTCAGTTCTGCAAGATCAAAAGAATTCTTAAGATAGATGGTGGTGA